TTTCTAAATGTAAACCCATATACCAAACATTCGTTAAAAGTCATTAACACCAAACCAAGATTCTTAACACATCATTCCACAATTTGCTCTTACACTTGTATGCCAGTTAAGCCCTTTCCTGGAAAAACGGGGCCTGGTCTTATTCATAGTCTAGTCACTTTTGGATTAGATTATCTAGGGAATCGGCTTGTCTGCAGAAAAAGGGGTTGGCAAACCACAATTTCTGACTGGGCCAGCAAGGCCACCTGCCAGAATTGTTGGTTTCTGCTTGACAGCAAGAGTGAAACACCTTGGCTAGCCTTCAACATTACCTGGCAGGAACAGTTGTGATAAGCGACACCTCTGGCACCCCACGCAAACGGGTCAAAATTGTGTCTAGGTTGTCATCCAGGCAAGCGGTAAACTCAACGCGGAAAGACCCCCCTGTGGGGTAACTGGAAGCTGTTGCAGGCTGCAAGGGAGCAGAGATGCAGGCACCTGAGGAAAAAGAAAAGTACCACGTTAAAGGATTTGTACAACACACATGGCAAAGTTCTATCTTCCTTGCAACCAGATGGCGTATTTTATGAAAGCAGATATCATAAGATTTTAGCCAGCTCCCCAAGCACCCAGCAGCTTCAGCCAGCATGGCCACTGGACACACGACAGGAGCTCAAGTCCAACAACATCTAGAGGGCACCAGGTTGGGAAGGCTTCTCTAGGAAATCTGTCAGCAAATTGGATGTACAGAAAGACAATGTTCTGCACTGCTTTAGAAAGGCTGTTCATTTCATAAAGCCCTAGTCACCATTTATGTCCGTGTTAGACCTCTCTCTTCCTATAACCATGCAGTGATTCCATGGCAGCGTTTAATTATAATTATAAAAAGGTAAAGGGACCCCTGACCATAAGGTCCAGTCGTGACCGACTCTGGGGTTGCGGCGCTCATCTCGCTTTATTGGTTGAGGGAGCCGGCGTACAGCTCCAGGGTCATGTGGCCAGCATGACTAAGTCGCTTCTGGCGAACCAGAGCAGCGCATGGAAATGCCGTTTACCTTCCCGCCGGAGCGGTACCTATTTATCTACTTGCACTTTGACGTGCTTTTGAACTGCTAGGTTGGCAGGAGCAGGGACCGAGCAACGGGAGCTCACCCTGTCACGGGGATTCGAACTGCCGACCTTCTGATCGGCAAGTCCTAGGCTCTGTGCCACAGTGCCACCCGTGTCCCTTCTTATATCCCTCCCTTATTCCGAGGAACTCAGGGTGGAACATGTGAAGATCCTAGATGGCCTCCTAGCCTAGGCTCAGACTGAGACTACAGCCGTGTGACTGCAATGACTACATTTAGATGTCATCGGACTACGTTGATATCAAAAAGCCGGGTCAGATTTTTTCAGAAGATGAACGGCAAATGCAATCCAGATTCACAAACAAGTCAAAGGTAGAAAATAGGCTGAATTGATGGAACTTGTGCCACAAGTCAGGAATAAGTGTGTGAGTGTGAGCCCGCAGTCCATTCCTAAGCACTGTCTTACTAGAGTGGTGCATGCTCTAGTTATCTCCCGCTTGGACTACTGCAATGCGCTCTACGTGGGGCTACCTTTGAAGGTGACCTGGAAACTGCAATTAATCCAGAATGCAGCAGCTAGACTGGGAGTGGCCGCCGGGACCACATAACACCGGTCCTGCATTGGCTCATAGTACGTTTCCGAGCACAATTCAAAGTGTTGGTGCTGACCTTTAAAGCCCTAAACGGCCTCAGTCCTGTATACCTGAAGGAGCGTCTCCACCCCCATCGTTCAGCCCGGACACCGAGGTCGAGCTCCGAGAGCCTTCTGGCGGTTCCCTCATTGCGAGAAGTGAGGTTACAGGGAACCAGACAGAGGGCCTTCTTGGTAGTGGCGCCCGCCCTGTGGAACACCCTCCCTTCAGATGTGAAGGAAATAAGCAGCTATCTTCTTTTTAAAAGACATCTGAAGGCAGCCCTGTTTAGGGAAGTTTTTAATATTTAATGTTGTATTGTTTTTAACATTTGATTGGAAGCCGCCCAGGGTGGCTGGGGAAACTCAGCGGGGTATAAATAATAAATTATTATTATTATTATTATTATTACTTAAGCATGGTGAAGAGATTGGCTGTGAACTCACATCTGTACTGCTTCAGTATAATAGGGCAGCTTCTACATTCACTGACACAGCCATCCTTTTGCAAGCCATTGAACTTGGTGTCTGTGCAACACTTTTCAAGAGCAGAAAATATCAACATTAAATGTTAGGAGGAACATTAAGTGTTGTTTTTTTTTAAAAGTGCTGATATGTTATGGTTGGTTTTCTTCATACATGGCCCATCCCAATACAGTGGTACCTCAGGTTAAATACTTAATTCGTTCCGGAGGTCCGTACTTAACCTGAAACTGTTCTTAACCTGAAGCACCACTTTAGCTAATCACTGCCGGAGCACGATTTCTGTTCTCATCCTGAAGCAAAGTTCTTAACCTGAAGCACTATTTCTGGGTTAGCGGTGTCTGTAACCTGAAGCGTGTGTAACCTGAAGCGTATGTAACCTGAGGTACCACTGTATATAACTTTTGACATTCATTTTATATTTAAAAACAGTAATGTCTCACCAAGTCCTTTTGCAAGCCAGTTGTTGACTCCATGAGGTACAGCGTCATACGCAGTATGTGGAGAATAAATGCCAATTCGGTTCTCCAAGGCTCGGATCACGAGACGTTCCTTCCACGTTTTCCATGTTATGCGTTTCAGTGGTTGGAAAATAGGCGGGTGGTAAGAGAGAATGAGATCTGCCTTCTTCTGCAGGGCTTCTTCCATCACTTCCTCTGTGAGGTCATTGGTCAAGAAGAGGGTGTGGACAGAATGGGGAGGGCTTGGCTCAACCAGGAGCCCCACATTGTCCCAACTTTCGGCCAGAGAGAGCGAAGCAAAATCATTAAGGGAAGAAACGAGAACTTTCAGATCCATGAAGGACCGCACAGTCAAATTGATCAAAGACCGTATGTGCAAGAACTGCCTCGGAATCCAATTCAGTTGCATACAGGTTCCTGAAGAACCTGAAAGGTGAGGAAGAAGAAAAAAATCAGTAGGTCGACCAATATTTATTTTATTTCATAAACTTTATATACCAGGTGTAGAAAAACCTCAGAGAGGTTTACAACAGGGGTAGGCAACCTAAAGAGGGACGCAGGTGGCGCTGTGGTCTAAACCACAGAGCCTAGGGCTTGCCGATCAGAAGGTCGGTGGTTCGAATCCCCGCAACGGGGTGAGCTCCCGTTGCTCAGTCCCTGCTCCTGCCAACCTAGCAGTTCGAAAGCACATCAAAGTGCAAGTAGATAAATAGGTACCACTCTGGTGGGAAGGTAAACGGCATTTCCGTGCGCTGCTCTGGTTCGCCAGAAGCGGGTTAGTCATGCTGGCCACATGACCCGGAAGCTCCCTCAGCCAATAAAGCGAGATGAGCGCCGCAACCCCAGTTGGACCTAATGGTCAGGGGTCCCTTTACCTTTACCTTTAGGCAACCTAAGGCCCATGGGCCGGGGGTTGTTTAACTGGCCCACGAGCCGCCCTCAAACCGAGTCGCCCGCTTGGCAAGTCCCCACAGCGCGGGGACTCGCTTCTGCAGCACCATGCGCATGCGCCAAAATCATGTCTGCACAGACACAGACGCCGGAAATCGCGGGCGCACGCACTCACACACATGCACAATCCGGCCCACAGAGTGATCTCTGCTGTAGTGAACCGGCCCAGGCGAGGTAAACCTTGCTGACCCCTGGTTTACAATAAAAGATAAAACAATAAAATTATCACTAAAAATGTACAACGGTAATCTAAAACATGCAGGAGATTAAGCCCGCAGTAGAATAAGACTAAAACAAAACTCCTTCAAGCTTCCTAAACATCTGGGTAGGGTAAGATGCAATAGAATATTAAAGAAATACACCCCTTAAGAATTTAAAACAACTCTTGTTTAATGCAGAACTGAAAATGAATGGCAAATAAATTCACAGGAAATTTCCCAATCATAACATCTTCTCTGGGAATGTTACATCTGTCATGATCAAACTGCCTAACCATGGACAGGATTTTAGCAGCAAGGATTCCACCAAAATTTTGTCCAAAGTGTTTTGACAAAAAGGTTCAGAACCACTGTTCACAGGATTAACCATGGGGATGAAAAAAGTGTGCGCCTCTTTGCAGTGCTATAGCTGAGCTTGAGCACTACTGTGTACTAGATTTTGAAGAAACTTTGCATCCAAGGAATACACACTGTAGCAGCAAACAACACAATTGCTGGCCTCATCCAAACTTTCATTTCTCTAACAATGTGGTAATAGCCGAAGTCTCCCCAGCTTCTTTTGGCGGGGGAGAGAAATGTCCCCTCCACTGCAAATAAATCTTCTCCCCATTTATTCTCAATCCACACTTTTTTTGAACAGCTGGTTTTAAAAACTCATAGGTAAAGGTAAAAAGCTCATCACAGTGGAAATTATCTGGGCTACTCTTTTAAAAGAAAAAAACCCTCTAAAGGGCAAAAGCTCAAGATAAAGAAAGAGATCTACTCTCACAGAAGTGAATCTAGAAAAGTAGCCTCCCTAGTGTTCAATGATAGCCCCACACGTTACCAAAAACCTCCACTTCCATTACAGTTAGAATAACCTAGTGGGCCAAAAATCGAAAGGACAAGAAGTACAAGAATCCTGTGTTTGTCATTTATAAAATCCTTCTATTAAGTATTTCAGGGGTAGAGAATATGCTTTAATATGAGCGCCCCCAAAGTGGGGGGAGCGAATAAAGAGTTGAACAGGAAGAGGGCAGGGAGACGGATGTTATTCTGTGCAAAGAGACGATAATAATTTTTAAAATCCAAGCCCTGCATGCATTTTCTTGCATGCATTTTTCTTGGTACTCACAGAACGTGCAGAACACGGATCAGGATGAACCGGAGCCCACCCAGGCCTGACTCTGCTCGGCTCCTCCTTCGCTCCGCGGCCCAAATCCGGCGCCGCCTCCTGCCCTCCCGGCGGGCTCCCAGGCTCGGGGAAGCGCTACTTCCTGCCCGGGTCCCACGAGGAGCCAAGCGGCGCCCAGGTTGCCGTCCCTTCTTAGGTAAGCGGCGAGCGGCGCAGGATCAGAGCAGTGCAGGATCTGTCCATTTGCAGCGGGGTGGGTGGAGATGAAGCGGCTTGATCAAAACGCATTTCTGCAACAATAAACAATAAGACAAGAGTTCGTAGCTGCAGTAGCAGCCTTGATTTTCACCGGCCTTCTTCTTTTTCTTACCCCGCCCATCTTCCACTCTGGGCGGCTCCCAACAGAATATTAAAAACATGCTAAAACATCAAAAATTGACCTAAACAAAGTAGCAAAAAAGTAATAATGAAGGATGCTGCGTCCCTGTTATTTGGCTTACCTGGGAGAAAGTGCTCCTGAACTCAGCGTGTATTCTTCAGATCAGGTTATATCTTTGCTCTTGGGATGTAAGTCCCACCCCAGTTCAGTGGTGTTTACTTCTGAGTAAACATGCTTAGGATCAGGAGCCAACAACTAGGGGCCAAGGGGTTCCACCCCCACCCCATATTGTATTCAAGTTGGCACCCCTAGATCAGGTTGCACAAAGCAGTAGATTTGGTGAAACCAGAATACTATGTGTTTGTGTACAGTTGTTGTAAACAAAAAATTGCCCTTTTCCCTTATGGGGTATCCAAGAGCCCATATAGAGTCCTTACATAGGTTCCCTATTGGTAGGAGAGGCCAACAGAGGCCAACCAGAGAATATTGAGAAGCAAAGCAGCTAGTAAGCCTGATCTTTATTGATCAGTTGCAACAGGGTGCTTCCCTCACCCGCAGGAGAGAGGAGGAACCCAGAAAAATGGTGCACAAGGCCTTATAAAGACTTTTGAAATTGCCACCCTGTAGATCAAGACCACCCCCAGAAACATCATACATACATCACAGAAGGGGTGTAACCTATGACCACCCCTCAGATACATCATACCTACATCACAGAAAAGGCCGTCTTTAAACAGAAATTTGAAGGTTGTTTTTCTCCTGTCCTTGTTTATCTCCTGCCTGGCAGGTTACTTGATTGGATTGCCTGGGTAGCCTGGCCAGTCTTTTGTAATGAAAAATACTTAGTTCCTGGGCCATGTCACAGGCTCACACCCTATTCATATCTGAAATGTGCCCTTAAGACAGGATTTGTGTGGAAAGAGACAATGGGGAAGTTTCCCACTTAGATCTTGCAGAGAAAACATTTGCTCAGTTTAGGAATCAAAATGGTTCCAGGTTGGTCTTCCTGTGCTGATCTATGTACGTGCTTGGTTGGTACACTTATGAACATTACCATATATCTAAGACCATAAAAGTCCTATCACAGTGCTACCTCAGTATTAAACGTAGCTTTAATGCTGAGCCTAGGACTTGCTGATCAGAAGGTTGGTGGTTTGAATCCCTGCGACAGGGTGAGCTCGCGTTGCTCGGTCCCTGCTCCTGCCAACCTAGCAGTTCGAAAGCACGTCAAAGTACAAGTAGATAAATAGGTTCCGCTCCGGCGGGAAGCTAAACAGCGTTTCCGTGCGCTGCTCTGGTTCGCCAGAAGTGGCTTAGTCATGCTGGCCACATGACCCGGAAGCTGTATGCCGGCTCCCTCGGCCAATAAAGCGAGATGAGCACCGCAACCCCAGAATCGGCCACAACTGGACCTAATGGTCAGGGGTCCCTTTAACTAATATAGCTTTAACATTGATGTAGATGTACATGAATGACAGGAGTGTGAATGACAGGGGTGGGGAATGATGTATAGAGCTGAATAGATGAGGTTGCTCTTTTTTCTTTTGGGTAGCTTATTATCCTAGAAAAAATATCAGCCATTTTTTTATATATATACGGCAAGGAGTGGGTGAAGGCGAAAGGGGTAAGATTATGATGTTGCTGTTGGCAATCTTCTTAAGAAAGAAGAAGAAGCAACAAACTGAATTTACATACTCTTTCTCTCCCACCTTCCATGGCAAATCATGATGCTCTGTCTTCTGTTGCTGCAGAATTGTGAAATCCTGACAGGTTCAGATGGTGTTGCCTCTTCTGATATGCTTTGCATTCCTGGCCAGCAAAGATGGTAAGACTGGTTGTTCCAGTATCCTATCTGCTTTTAAGATAACCATTGGAGACTTCCATAAATAATCTTCCACTTTAGTTTCATAATACAGTTATTTAGTAGTCCAATTGTTTTTATTTTGATTATATATTTTGTGGTTTTATATTTTGATTTTGTTCTGTGAACCGCCCTGAGATTTCCGGGCATAGGGCACCATATAGATTCAATTATTATTAATAATAATAAATAATAATAATGATAGTATAAAGTGCTTCTCACACATTATCTCAGTAATCCTCACAATTTTAAAAAAGTGGTTTCTTAGACTTGTATATCACTATACATTAAAAAGCAATTTACAATGCACTAGACCTGCAACTGACACGGTGGTTAACATTCCATGGATAGTGCATAAAGCCAAAATCACGTATAGTGAAAACACATTGGGTGCAGTGGCAGGTGGGATTGCAAAAGTTGCCACCTTCCCTTTAAATTATCATTGTTATTGTTTTACCAAGTGCACAAAGCCAAATGCACACAAGTTAAATGTGCCAAAGTTGTGGGTCTACTGCACATGTAAAATGCAATAAAACATAATAAAAACATTGAAACGAATGAACAAAATCAGTACAGTAATAATTATATAAAACAGACATTAAAGGCTGGATTGGATAGCTTTAACTAAAAGCTAATGATAGGCATGCTTGATTTAAGATTTTAATTCTTCCCCACTTCCCAGACTGTGACCTTTAACTCAGTTGCATGAACTTCCTGTGTCATATGCATAGGATCCGGCATACATACCGGTAAATACCTTGCAGTTGAATTATTTTTTCCTCTGGGCTGCAGACTTGATCAGGACTTCAGCGCAAATGTTCTTTAGGCCTTTCCCCTAAACATTCCTGAAGCATCTTTGCGGAAGCCGGTTGAAAGTTCATACCTCCTTGCATTGTAATTCCTGCAAGAGGGGTCAAGTTTCCACAATCGGAAAACCTGCCTGTTTGAAGGGAGAGTTTTGTTTGCATCCTGATATTCTATGTGTGCATTCTGAGCCAGACACCTGGGCCAGGGCGGAGGCAAAGCTAACTAGTTGTGGAAATGCATTACTTTACTTGCAAAAGGATAGCTAAACAGAATTTGAGGGCGGCGTGCGTTATTGGGTTGTTGTTTTTTATTTTGATTATATATATTGTGGTTTTATATTTTGATTTTGTTCTGTGAACCGCACTGAGACCTCCAGGTATAGGGCAGTAAGGTGGTACCTCGGGTTACATACGCTTCAGGTTACATACGCTTCAGGTTACAGACTCTGCTAGCCCAGAAATATTACCTCGGGTTAAGAACTTTGCTTCAGGATGAGAACAGAAATCGTGCAGCGGCGGCGCAGCGGCAGCAGGAGGTCCCATTAGCTAAAGTGGTGCTTCAGGTTAAGGACAGTTTCAGGTTAAGAACCGACCTCCGGGACAAATTAAGTACTTAACCCGAGGTACCACTGTATATAAATTCAATCAATCAATCAATCAATCAATCAATCAATAAAATAAAAGAATAAATATTAAACTTTTTGGCTGTCTGCAAATAATTTTAAGATCCTTTTGTGTGTGCTGCTCCTCTTGCTCTGAGATAACCCGGCTTAATTGTATTGCTGATTTGGCTGCTGTTTGCTTGGACTGCTGTGAATAAATAATATTTTTTCCTCTCTCTTCCCCCCCCCCCCCAGGCTGTGACCCTACACACCGATGTGGGAGAAATTAAAATAGAGCTATTCTGTGAAAGAGCACCCAAGGCATGTGAAGTAAGTGATAGCCCCCCTTCTCTTTCCTCCCCCCCCCGCCCCCATACACACTACAGGAGGGGGGGCCTGGACACATTGCTCTTTCCAGAGGTCTGAACTGATAGCTTGCAAGGAGCTATTGAAATTAGGCTAAGGACCACAGGTCTGCCCACCTCTGTCTGTTAAATAATATGACCTTCCATGTTTAGATTTCATATACCAAATTGAGAGCTGGTGCGATGAGTTAGTTGAGTGTGTTGGACTAGTATCTGGGAGACCAGGGTTGAAAATTCCCACTCAGCTATGAAGCTACCGTATTTTTCGCTCTATAAGACGCACCAGACCATAAAACGCACCTAGTTTTTGGAAGAGGAAAACAAGAGAAAAAAATTTCTGAATCCCAGAAGCTAGGACAGCAAGCGGGATCGCTGCACAGCAATCCCGCTGGCTGTCCTGGCTTATGGGATAGCCGCGCACAGCCTCTCCCGGGTAGCGGGATGAAGACTCCCCTTGCCCGGGAGAGGCTGCGCACAGCTAAGGCTCCCCCAAGAGCCGTGCTCTCTTTAAAGAGTGCACGGAGTGTGTGTGCGCTCTACGTGGGGCTACCTTTGAAGGTGACCCGGAAACTGCAATTAATCCAGAATGCGGCAGCTAGACTGGTGACTGGGAGTGGCTGCCGAGACCACATAACACCGGTCTTAAAAGACCTACATTGGCTCCCAGTACGTTTCCGAGCACAACTCAAAGTGTTGGTGCTGACCTTTAAAGCCCTAAACGGCCTCGGTCCTGTATACTTAAAGGAGTGTCTCCACCCCAATCGTTCTGCCCGGACACTGGGGTCCAGTGTTGAGGGCCTTCTGGTGGTACCCTCACTGCGAGAAGCCAAGTTACAGGGAACCAGGCAGAGGGCCTTCTCGGTAGTGGCGCCCTCCCTGTGGAACGCCCTCCCACCAGATGTCAAAGAGAACAACAACTACCAGACTTTTAGAAGACATCTGAAGGCAGCCCTCTTTCGGGAAACTTTTAATGTTTGATGTATTAGAGTATTTTAATATTTTTTTGGAAGCCGCCCAGAGTGGCTGGGGAGGCCCAGCCAGATGGGCGGGGTATAAATAAATTATTATTATTATTATTATTATTATTGGCTTTTCCCCGAGGAGGGAGGGCAGCCCTTCTCCCTCCTCGGGGAAAAGCCCCCAAGAGCCGCACACACGCTCCACACCGCTCTTTAAAGGGAGCGCTGAGCAGATCCTCCCGCCTGCATTCGCTCCATAAGACGCACACACATTTCCCCTTACTTTTTAGGAGGGGAAAAGTGTGTCTTATATAGGGGAAAATACGGTAACCGGATGACATTAGGTCAGTCACTGACATTGGGTGAGTGGGAGAATCATGTATGCAATCTTCAGTTCCTGGGAGGAAATGGTTGGATAAAAAAGGAATTAAAATAATTCTGTTAAATTAAATTCTCATTAAGGTACAATCGAACATGAAAAGGTAGGTAGGGTTAGTGAATCATCCTTGTTTCCTGTTAGAATAGGTGCTTTCATTCCTTAGTAGGCAGTCTGCTGTAATTAACAGAGCTACGCCCTGACGCCTTTGCACCCGCTGATCCAGTTTCCTTTGAGGCACGTTCTGTTTTCAAAATAGTTTCACCAGATAAAGATAAGCCAGTCTTCAGTTCGTTCCATCGGCTGCAAATAGTAGAACGCAACATAAATGAATGTGGCGTTCGGGTAAAGATTTGTTATTTCATAACATCAGATGAAAATTAAAAGATGAAAAACCAAGCAAGAATAAAAAGGGAAAAAAGAATGAAAGAAAAAAGCAAGAATAAAAGTTGTATACACATAAAGGAAGACTATTTATGTTATTTGATTCCCAAGTATCATTCCAGATTTGTCAGGGTTGTCTTGAAAAAGATCCTTCCACTGTGTATATAACGAAGGGATGCCAAATTGTATAAAATTTGTCTGGAGGTTTTAGTCCTTGTCTAAATCTCAAATTATGTGGAACTTTCTCCATTATAGCTATATTAATATAAAATGAATGCTGGTTAGATGAAAGATGCTTCCATGCAGGAGTTTATTTTGCATTGCCAGCAGCTTGTCTATGCAAGTTTTATGCACAGTTGTTTTTACCAAAATTTTGTTACATTTTTAATCTGGATTTTCTAACACCACAAAAAATCAGATTGGCAAAAAATCATGGTTTAAATAATTTAAAGGTTACAGCAGTTAGTGCTGGAAAGAAAAAGGAAAAGAAAGGAACATGTGATTCAAAGGGGGCAAAATTTTATGTCCTTGTACCATTTTGCATTTTACTGCTGGTTTCTTTCTTAATTAGGCTTCTGGTTCTTTTTCTAGAATTTTCTGGCACTCTGCGCTAGTAACTACTACAATGGCTGTATTTTTCACCGGAATATCAAAGGATTTATGGTGCAGACTGGAGATCCAACAGGTAATTCCTTTTTTTAAAGTTACAAATCATTCTTAAATCTTAAATCATTCTCTTGGAGCACTGAGAGAAGCATCAGTCAACATGAGAACTGTTGTTGTGCTATTCTTTCAAACAAACAGATACTAATTTTGAATTTTAAAATGCAGTACTGTATATGCAAGGAAGGCCAGTCAAGGCTACAGGCTGTTTAGATGGTATTTCAAAAAAAGTATCCAGTGCATCAAAATCATAATAGCGTGTTTGTAGAGCCCCATTAGAGCAATCTTATAATGTAGGCCAACTGTAATATCCCATGTTGCCCATGAAGACTTGAGATGCGGAGAATAGTGATCTTTCTAAGAGTGGCAAGTTCACGGTGGTGAGAATTGAATTGAAACTCTGCAAACCAGGAGATTCTCAATTCGACCTCCTGATTCACAGCTCAGTCTCTTAGTGAAATGGCTAGTTCTTGTATACAACAGGAAATTGTGAAAACACTCCTTAGTGAAGGTGCAAAATATGTCAGAAAAGGTCAGCTGCAAGTGGAATCTGCTGTGACTTTTCTTAGATCAGTGGATTCTGCTCTGATATTGATGGCATCTACCTGGTTCCTTCATGCTAATGTTAATATCATCCTTTGCCAACATAGAGATTGGAACCAGTCAGATCAATGTCCGTTTCCTTTGAAATTGGTGGTAATATTTAACCCTAGTACCTAATAACTATTGGGACGTGGGTGGCGCTGTGGGTTAAACCACAGAGCCTAGTACTTGCCAATCAGAAGGTCGGCGGTTCGAATCCCCGCGACGGGGTGAGCTCCCATTGCTCGGTCCCTGCCCCTGCCCACCTAGCAGTTCGAAAGCACGTCAAAGTGCAAGTAGATAAATAGGTACCACTCCGGCAGGAAGGTAAACAGCATTTCCGTGCGCTGCTCTAGTTCACCAGAAGCGGCTTAGTCATGCTGGCCACATGACCCGGAAGCTGTACTCCCTCGGCCAATAAAGCGAAATGAGTGCCGCAACCCCAGAGTCGATCACGACTGAACCTAATGGTCAGGGTAAAGGTAAAGGTACCCCAGCCCATACGGGCCAGTCTTGCCAGACTCTGGGGTTGTGCGCCCATCTCACTCAAGAGGCCGGGGGCCAGCGCTGTCCGGAGACACTTCTGGGTCACGTGGCCAGCGTGACATTGCTGCTCTGGCGAGCCAGAGCCGCACACGGAAACGCCATTTACCTTCCCGCTAGTAAGCGGTCCCTATTTATCTACTTGCACCCGGGGGTGCTTTCGAACTGCTAGGTGGGCAGGCGCTGGGACCGAGCAACGGGAGCGCACCCTGCTGCGGGGATTCGAACCGCCGACCTTTCGATCGGCAAGCCCTAGGCGCTGAGGCTTTTACCCACAGCGCCACCCGCGTCCCCTTTACCTTTACCTAATAACTATGCAAGTCCTAAATCATCTGAAAGGTGCTTAACAAGGGGAAATCTAGGGGGTTAGGCTTGGACATCATCTGAACGTACATGATTCAGGAACCTTGCGGAATCTAACCAGAATCTGCACGAAAGACCACTTGGAAATCCAATGCAAGTTCCTTTGAGTTCTATGATATTACCCAGGGGGGTAATAGCGTCATAAATAGGTTGCTTCTGAAATGGAGGTACAATACAGTCCTCCCAATTCTGGTTCTTTCTACCCTGTAGATGCCTTGCAGTATGTTTGCTTTACTGTCCTCTTCCATATTTGGGGAGCTCTGGGGAGAGGCATGGGGTGTTCTCTGATCTACAGTGAGGTTTTTGAGAGATGAGAAATGGCTTGAGTCTGTTATGCTGCTGAGAAAGTCTTTTCGTTATTTCTTGCCTTTTTTCCAAACAGCAGCACAAACCAGAGAGGACATCTCCCGTTGCTTAGTCATTACCAATTTGCTAAGGACTTAAGGGAGATATGTGTAAGTTGTGGACATGGGGAAAAGGTGCCTGAATTTGTAGGAATCCTGCTAACCTATCTACCCAACTTCCCCCATCCCTCTTGTTCTTTCAGGCTCCGGAAAAGGAGGAAATAGCATTTGGGGCAGAAAATTTGAAGATGAATACAGTGAATACTTAAAAGTATGTTTTGCTTTGTTCACTAAGTTTCTTGTTGCTGTACGTTTATGTGAACAGGGAAGTTGCCCTTTTTTTTGGCTTGGAAGGAAACAAAACAAACCCAGAGATGTAGTAGCATATAATAATAATTTATTGCATTTTAGTGTGTTACATTTTAAGACGATCTGGTGAAAGGCAGGATAAAAATGCTATAATAATAATAATAAAAAACCTTGTTTTTGGTTCCCCACTCCCATTGCATCTTCCTCTCTCAGCACAGTGTCCGTGGAGTTGTTTCTATGGCAAATAATGGTCCAAATACAAATGGGTCTCAATTCTTCATCACCTACGGCAAACAGCCACACCTGGACATGAAATACACCGTGTTTGGAAAGTGAGTATTACAGTATTGAATTGTATAATGCAGGATTTAATAATGTTGTCATACTTGAGCTGGCGGCCACATGAACTGCGTCATGCCAGCCTTAAGTTTTTATGTATATCAGAAGACGTATCATTCCGGGAGGTTGAAAAATTGTCATCAGAAGTTTGCGCCTTTCTGTGCAGGGAGGTTCTCATTGCTATTTTTCATTTCTTGCCTGCTCAAACAGGGTAATCGATGGCTTGGATACCCTGGATGAGCTGGAGAAACTGCCAGTCAACGAGAAGACATTCCGCCCCCTTAATGACGTCCATGTTAAAGATGTTACAATCCACGCAAACCCTTTTGCTCAGTAGCTGCAAAGCGCCCATGCACATTCCTGGGTTAAAAAACTGCTGGTGGGTCTTTGAAGACACATGGGCTTGTGCCTTCTCTTGGAATTACGGTCTTCCTAAGCTGTTCAAATTTCAGCATTTCATGGGGGGGAACGCCACCGTTTGATGTGTGAAATTGTACACATTTAACAAACCTGGGCTAATGTTTTTAAAATAAATAAATATATATATATATTAATCAACTCATGTTTTCCTGTTAAATTCCATCTGGATTATACCAGCTGTTCTTTCAAAATGCTTTGTATGTGGACTCTTGTCTTCAAGGCCGGGGTTGGTTGAACAATTGGGACTAACGGTGTGATAGTCCCACAACCTTATGGCAGGCCTCATCCACTGTCAGGGAATTGGAGGCAGAAAAGGGGGAGAGAATGGGGACCTATAGAGATAAGCCTCTGATACTTAGCTGTTGTACTTCTTCGGAGGAGGAGGGTTGTCAGGAAGCAATGAATCAGAGAGGGGGGAGCAGCTTCCCATTCTCGTAACAGAGGAAGGAAAGGGGGAGGGTTCCAGAAGTGGTTATGCTGAAAGAAAGAGAAAAGATCGTCAGTCTCTGCAACTGACACTCCATGATGCAGATGTACTCTCAGAGCTCCGTGTAAATAGCAGAAAGAAACCAATAAATCTTGTAAATATGGCTGGATTCCCGGACTCTTATCTCTTCTAGCACCCACCAAGCAACCCCTGACATCCACACACTTAGGCCTCATCTACACACCTCAGTGGCCAGCTTGTAGTTTAATTTCCCTCCCTCCAGGACTCCCTCACACCCAGCCAAAATGCAGCCCATAGAAGAAGCCTCCTTGCTCCACACTGACATTGCCCTCTTGCGAAGCAAAACACAACTTTTCCAAAAGGGCTCATGAGCTGATTATTTTTGTAATGCCTTTTGTGTCCCCATCAAATCTTGCCTCTTTCTCTTCTCTCTCTTTCTATTTATTTATTGAAAGGGGAAAGATTAGATGGGGACACAAAAAGCATCAAATATCTTTATATCTCTTTCAAAACTGCAACCTGCCCCACATCTAGGTTTGCCTAAAAAATGCCCAGCGAAATTCGGATATACGGCAACCCTTGTTGGCAGTACAGTAGTACCTCGGGTTAAGTACTTAATTCGTTCCGGAGGTCCGTACTTAACCTGAAACTGTTCTTAACCTGAAGCACCGCTTTAGTTAATGGGGCTTCCCGCTGCTGCCGCGCCACCAGAGCACGATTTCTGTTCTCATCCTGAAGCAAAGTTCTTAACCCGAGGTACTATTTCTGGGTCTGTAACCTGAAGTGTATGTAATCCGAGGTACCACTGTATACATTTGGGCAATTATCCATAAAAATAGCTGACAGTGCTTCTTTTCTAAAAAAAAAAAAATGCTTAGGGGTACGTACTTTCATTTTGACTCAAGAAAATCACCATTTTATAGCTCAAATCGGGGGAAATAAATACAGTAAATGGACAAAAGTACAAAGATTCACAAAATGTTTAGGGGTATACGTATCCCCGTGTCCCCACAAAAAAAAGCACTGCAGAATAAAAGATTTTGCAAAAGAAGCTCAACAGCTTGGCCCAAAAAAGTTCAGCTTTTGTGTCTGCATTTTCACTTCTTGAAATATGGCAACCCTAGGGCCTTATGAACATTAACTTTTTTTTGGCGTGGGGCTGAGAGACTGAAAAGATTTTATTGTGGGGGCGAAGGGACTTCTGCTAGCAGTTGCCTCCTCGGGCCAAGGAACAGAATAACACAATCGGGATTAACACACCGACCAGCGAAACAGGTGGGCGGGGCTTATTCCATCCAATCGAAACCCCTGGGGAGCGAGGCCCGTGACGCAGCCGCGCATGCGCAGCTATTGTGACGACCTTCCCACTTCCAGAAGGTTCCTCGCAGCCGGCGCCATTTTGTCGAGGCGGACGGTTGTTGTTTTTCCCCCAGCGGCGGTTGCTGAGGCCGGAGAGGAGGAGAGACGGGAAGGCTCGTCGTGTCCGGAGGCGCCTTTTGAGAAGCGGAGTCGACTCCGAAAAGGAGAGCCGTAAGTGTCGGGTGCGGGTCGGCGAAAGGCTCGGGGCCACGGAACGGCCGGTCGTAATGGCGCGTGAGGGGAAATATTCGAAGGGGGGAAGGGGAGCCGCTCCTATTTTTACCTCAGGTTTTTTTTCCACCTCAGGGGGAAACGCACCGGGATGGGGTTGGCTTGGCTGGTCGAGAATGGTTTCCCTCCCTCCAAAGACGAGCCCTTCCCGCCATGTTCTCCTCAGGGAAGGCGAGCTTAAAATGGCTTCGAGGCCTTCGGTTTGGCGTCGCCTACGCGAGAGGCACGTCGCGTCCCTTTCTAACCGTCCAAGCTCCTCTTGTGGAATTTATCCGCTTTTTTGGCGCTTCCTCGGCTCACACATGTCGGGGGCAGAACCACCTGCTTTTTGTGTCGTTTTCTCCGAGATCCGAGGAACCCCAGGCAGGGCGAGCACGGGCGACATAACGTCCCAGTGCGTCACCGGCGTCGTAGTAATAAGTGTTGTGGTTTTAGCACAGCCGCGAGCAGGACTGAAGGGATATCTGTTAAGGGGGTTGTTGCAAAAACGACGACAAACAACAACATCAACATGACCTGGCAACCCGGGGGGGGGGTCTGTAGCCGAAAAATGCCTTTTGCAGTAACAAATGGAATCAAAAAAATTACGAAGGCGGAATGGAAGTGGGCGGAAAGGAGATGGGTCCCTCCAGAGAATAAATCCGGTTGGGGAAAATCACAAGGGCGAAGTCGCCTTTTTTCTCTCTGCTTGTTCAGTTCCTGTTTGCCCCTCCCCCTCCAAACCGTACTCGGTAAACAAACCCTGAGTAAAACTGAGGGCGGTGGTTAAAATAGCAAAAAGGGACTGCTTGTTGATAAGGAAAAGGAAGTTTGCATAGCCTGGCTAAAAGCAGGAAAGAGAAGAAAAGTCTGTGGTGCTGTTGCTGCCCCGTGGGAAGAGGGTGCCTGAGCTGCAGCAAAGGCCTTGTTCTTAGTACCTCCCGGTTGTAATTCCCAATTGAGCTCGTTTCGTTGGGATGACGGTGGGAGGGGAAGAGAAAGAAAGGAGCTGCCCAGAGATCTATAGGTACAGTGGTACCTCGGGTTACATACGCTTCAGGTTACATATGCTTCAGGTTGCAGACTCCACTAACCCAGAAATAGTGCTTCAGGTTAAGAACTTTGCTTCAGGATGAGAACAGAAATCGTGCTCCGGCGGCACGGCAGCAGCAGGAGGCCCCATTAGCTAAAGTGGTGCTTCAGGTTAAGGACAGTTTCAGGTTAAGAACGGACCTCCGGAACGAATTAAATACTTAACCCGAGGTGCCACTGTATAGGTATATAATTAAAAGGAGTGAATTCAAAACAATTGAGAGAGAAAAAGAGGAGGCAAACCGGTAGGCATCACCCATCTGAATATGTGCCTGTCTGGATGCTCAGGTCTTCTTCATCTGAGATCCTTCTGTATTCCCTTCCATCAGAGATGTGGGGGCTGGCAACTGGTGGCGCCCCAGCTAGGGTATGCTGTCTCCAAGAAGGCTTGTTTCTCACTTCCCGTGAAAGAACATTTACTGAAATACAGTCAAACACTGTGAAATGTATTCAGGAGCTAGGTATTGGGTAGCTGAACTATACAGTGTCAGTCACTTGTTCCTTTTGTTTTTGTGTGATTGTGGTTGATTATGTCAGTTTCAGTTGAGTTGCTACTATAGTTTGTATACAAAAGGGGATGACTGGTTTTAAAAAGTTGAAATCCTATGGTGTTAATGCCCAGTAATATATTATTCTATTAGCATAGTAATACTGTATTGGCATACAAGTTGCCCAAATTTGTGGGCACATTTTGCCACTGGCTATACAGGCAACTCATATCTGAGGCACGTTTAACTTGTACAGTTTCAACTTTTATGTGGTTGTTGGCTGGCCAGTTGAAATTGCAGAAATTAAATGTACAGAAGGTGGCATGCTTAAAAGCTAACAATGCGCAAAAAGAGCTTTTAAGCTCTTCTCCTTGCTTACTGGGCTCTGGGAGGCTATCCTGAGATCTCAGATGACCTCACAAGATCTTGCTGGGAGCCTTTCAGAGCCCAGCAAGCAATGTGGAGAGCTTAAAAGCACTCTACCTTGCTTGGTGGGGTAGACTCTTAGGGTGTGCTGGCTCTTGAAGGTAAGACTTCTCACGCTGGGGCATTTCAAGGGGTTTCGATTTTCGGCACTTGATCTGTACTGTGGGGTGTAAAGTGCTGTGCTTTCCCATTAATATTAGTGCTTTTTCTTTTCCATGTTAGGCTTCATATTGCAGTGCATGAATGGGGATTGCTGTCACTGCGGTATTTTGGAAATCCCTGCTAGTCAGTTGCATAAGCCGTTGGTAGTATTTAGTCTCGTTGTGTTTTAGGTGGCAGCAGTTTTGAGTATAATCATTAAGAGTAATGTGTTGCTAAAACATACTGAACTCGCACATACATTGAGAATTAAAATGTGGGTTTAAAATGAGCAGACGAAGAAATTACTTGGTAAAATGCTTTATTAGGAGCAACCAATGGTAAACAAAATATGCAAGCTTGCATAGTAACTTTGTGGCAGTACTTCTGATCAGTTTGTTTTTGTTTTCTGTTTATATGGTTTTTTTTAATGCAAGATTTCTGTAGTTCAAAAGCTTACACTGCATTGTGAATATGGATTGGTCCTATTCAAATAATTACTGTTAATATGAGTCTGAGGCATTTCTGTGCTTCAAAGTGTAGGGCCCCAATAAAAAAAATTCTCATTTGACTGTGGTAGAATTGAAGCCATTTAAATTGTATATTTAAGTTTGATCTCATTGCACTGCTTAATAGACTGATAGGAAGAGAGAGATTTACTGGAAATAGTTCTAAAACTGGTTTATACAGAAAAAGTTACTGTTGACTTTTTGTCTCATAATTGTATGTATTTACAGATGCGGTATTCAAAGCAAACACACTATTCTGATTGGGAAGAAAAACAATGTTTGGATCCTAAAAAAGGCAGCAGCCATCATAAGAGAAGAAGAGAATCATGCAGCAGTACGCATGAGAAAAAGCGCTGCAGATATACTCAAACCCAACCTTATGATAGGTGAGTTAGTTCACCCCCACCCCATATGGCAAGTCTGTATCTTATTAAAGTTATCAATATGTATCATAGTATTG